ACTACTGGACTTAAATAGTTTACTTCTTTAAACACCTGGATGAATAACAAATACTTGTAAAATGAAGGGTATTTGCATACCACATTCATACATGTGTTCCTGCATGTTTATGTAAACCATTTATTACTTGTAGACAAGGTTTCCTGCACACAGTTATTTGTGGACCTGACTTTATAGCTTATGAATCTTAGTGCTATTTGATGTAGGTCTGAATTCATAATATGTATAACATTAAAATATTCAATAAATATGAAATAGTGATCACAATAGCAGTGAGAGTAAAGAATAAAAGGAAAAGAGATGAGGAAGAGAAATCGGTGCAAATGCCATGAATAAATCCAGATCAAACTGTCAGCAATTGCTCAAAGTGTTCCAGAGGCACTGAGAAAAACCCCATTGAGAGATTAAAAGAAAAACGATGGGACAGTCATAGAAAATTGAGCAGAGGGAGTTGTTGAAGAAGAAAAGGAAACTTATCAATTGTGGTAATAAATCTATTCAAGAAGGCCTTTCACCATAGATCTTTGTTTTTAGGCTATAGTATGTGGAATTAAATAGGAAAAGTAAAGTTAATTTAATATTATGACTGTCATTTTTAGAAAGCTATTAGAGCTCTATTTCCTGATGTTTAAAGATGTAAAACTCTTGACCTTTATTTATACCTTGTTGGTTATTCATGAATTTAGCTTTTATTAATAATCAGAGGGTTTTCATTTGTTTTTGTTTTTAAAAAGAAGAAAGATACATAAAATTTTGTTCCATATTTGCTCTTACAGAGAATAAAATCTTGTGGCCTTTTCTCTGGAGCATGTCTTTCTGTATTTAACCTCTATGAGGAATTTTGAAACTATGAATTGTTTAAGCCAATGCTTTCCCAAATGGAGTGAGGTGAGACTATCTGGCAATCAATGGATAACTGATAAGGCCAGTCTCGGGTTCCAGAGAATGTTAAGCATTTCTAATTAATAAAAAGGCTATAGTGGTAAATTCTTATTTTTCCTCCAATTTTATAGCCAAGAGCTCCCCACAGGCACAAAAAGAAAAAAAATCAAAAAACAAAAAACAAAGCCCACCAAAACCCCAAACTCCTTAAACTAACTATGAACCACCTCAGGATAAGAACTGTTTAGAGCTTTCCTTTTCTAACCTTAGTCACTTCCCATTATTTATTATTTCTTATTACCTCACTTTTCCTGTCTCATTACTATGAATAACCATGTATTTGTTTTGTGTGCCAAAATACTCAACCATACATTGGTTCTCTTTTCATATGAAGAATTAGTTACGATGTTAAAATTATAATTAATTTTAAGAAATGATACCAAGAAATGTGTTATACTAAAAGATGCTGATTTGAACATTAATAGTGATAAACATGCTCTTTTGACCCATTTCAATTCCTCTTCAAATGCCTGAGTAAAATAGCAGAAAACGTAAAGAACTGATTTTTGACCACTAGGTGGGGAAACAATACAATTTAAAATACAATATAACTTTGGTCTCAACTACTTTATTTTCAAAGTTATTTAAGATTTCTGATTCTCATCTGTCTTCTGTCTTTTACACTCTTCAGACATCCTGACCTAAGTGATATAATTACAAGTTACTTCTAGGAACAGCTTTAGAAGTAGGCAGAACAGACCCGCAGATGATAAAGCCACCCTATCTTCTGAAATTCCTTCCTTCATCCCAGTGAGAGATTCCAGGCTGCCACACGCTAGGGAGAACTGTAAACCTTAAACCTTATCAAGTCATCACTTCAGTTACTTCAGAAGCCAATGCCTGGTGGGAGCACTTGGTCTCAGTTGCCCTAGTTCTTGGTTCCTGGAATTCTCCCCTCTCTCTACTTTTACCATTCTTCCTCTTTACTACATCTTTCCCAACAGCACACTAGCATGCTGTTATTTCCATCTTAAAAAAATTCTCTGGATTCCATTTCTCCCACCAGTTCCTGCCCCATTTCTTGGCTTCCCTTTTCTCCTTGAAAGAGTCGCCTTCACTTGCTCCTTCCAATCCGTCTCCTGGCATCGTCCCTTAAAGCTGTTTAACCAGGCTTGCCTCCCCACCTCTCCTGGCATTTCACCCATGCTGCCACCACTGTCCCCACTTGTTTGACATTCAGCAGCATCTGACAAGTTGCTCACTGCTTCCAGGACACCTCCTTTATTGGCTGTTCCTTGTATTCCCTGTTGTCCCTTCTCCTCCCAGGCCGAATAGAGTTACAGTGCCCCAGGCTTGGTTCTCCTCTGTCTACCCTCCCTTTCTTGGTCATCTTAACCAGTCTCATGACTCCAAGCGTGGAATATGTTCCTATGTCTCTCAAATCTTACGTTTTTAACCCAGAACTCTCTCCCAGATTCTTCTCTTCTTATCCCCAATCGCTTCCTCAGCATTTCCACTTGGATGTTGAAGAAGCAGCTCAGACTTAACATAGCCTCCTGATCGTCCTCACCTCCAACGCTTGCTCACCTCTGTTAAACAAAATCTAGGAGGTTTTGGACTAAACTCCTGCACTGGGTCCAACAGATCAGACTAAAAATCAAAATGGAGTCACTCAGGCTCATCAAACCGAAACTGAGATGTCATCCAGCCTTCTGAGAAATTGGGAGAGAGAGAAAATAGGCTAATTTGCCAAACAGGCCAGTTTCAATCTTCGATCATGATAATGAGGTTCCTGCTGGTTTAATCTTTATAACAAAGAATGACCTGAAGTAACCTGGTATTGACCAATCTGTTATCTTTCTATTGTTCTGTTTCTGTGTCCCTGCCTGACAAGGAAAGTGACTTTGAAATGACCAATCTGGTTTTTGTTCTTTGTTTCTGCTTTCTTCAGTTCTTTTTCTGTTTATAAAACCAAACTCCTCTGCTCTGCTCATTATTCTATTTTATGGGACAAAGTGTTGCCCTATTCTAGACTTGCAGATAAAGCCAATGGAAATCTTTAAACTAAATTTGTTGTCATTTTGTCTCTTGACACCCACGATGATTCTTCAGTTGATGGAAGCATCATTCTTACAACTGTTCAGGCCAAAAACCTTAAAGCTATCCATTCTTGATCCTCATTTTCTTTCATACCCTAAATCCAAATTCTGTTGTCTCTACCTTCAAAATCTATCCAGAATATGGACACTTCTCACCACCTCCACTGCTACCATCCTGATTAGAGCCACCTCCCTACATTTGGAGGTCGGCAGAGGGAGTGCTTGGGAAACACTCGTGTGCATTTTGAGGACTGGTGGTGTGATAAGAAGCCCAGAAACTCCTATATGTTTCACAATTCTACCTAAAAACTACCCCTTAAATTTCCCCCTCATGTGAAATTTAAGCTTTTGAACCTGAACCTGAACAGCAAGACCTGTTTTGGTTTCATTTCCTCCACATATTTCTAGCTTCCCCGATATGAGGGAAATTGTCTAACCCAGATATTTCTTCATTTTGGAATTTACTTGAGCTCTCTGATGGGAGCTTGAAAGTCTTTTACTAATACCACATTTTCCCTTTTGAAAAAAAAGGTAGCAGATATCATGGGGCATTAGAGTCTTTAAATTGGCATTCATAAATGCAAATGCCTGGAAGGGTGTACAGTTAATATAAATGTATCAAGCAGGCTGAATATAAGATGGTAGTCACTAAGTTGCTCTAACACCTTCTAGTTCCTATCTTTAAACCCCCAAGAAAGCATAATAAAGTGAAAAGTAGTGGTGGCCACTCATGACAAATGTGGTTTCAATCCCTGCTTTAAATTGTATTCACCAAGCATTTAAGGGAAAATGTCAATCTGATATTGTTGTTAATAGTTTCTATTATATAAATTATGGATATTAAGTACTTTTATTGTGGAGAACATCAATCTGGTAGGGAACTGAAGTGAAGGAAAATGCAATTGTACTAAATATGTTGGATATTACTTATTTGTGGTAAAGAAGAACCATGTAAAGAAATTTTCTAGAAAAGAAAGGGAAGATCTAGTCTGCCTTGCCATAAGAATCTATGCTTTCCATTGTCTGCATATTTCTTTTTAAAATGACATTTCATTCTATTCCAATCTTCCACTTGCTTTTTCCTCAACCAACTCTTCCGATAACTCATGAATAAGAAGCCCACGCATAGCACCCCGTACAGTTCTGACAGTTCTAAAAAGTACCATATAAGAAAATTTAAGCAAGAGAAGGCTTGAATAAAAGTGTCCTAGGTTTTTAACACCTAGCCAAAAATTGTGAAGGGTGAGAGAAAACCTGTATTTTTTATTTAAAGGAGGCTATTTAGCACAGTAGTTTAAAGCAAACATTTACTTTGGATTCATACTGACATTGGTTCAAATTTCTTCTACTCTACACTATTGTGTGATCTTGGAGAAGTTACTTGGCCTCTTTACAGAGGTAAAGTTCTATTTTCTCTTCTGTGAAATGATGGTACTACCCACTCGATAAGGTTATAGAGATTATATATGTAAAATGCCTAACACATTGTAGGCAGTCAGTAAAATATGGTGGTAGTGGTGGTGGCGGTAACAGTGGTGATGTTGATAATGACAATGGTGGTGGTGGTGATGGTGGTGGTAGTGACAATGACGATGGTAGTGATGGTGGTGATGATGATAGTGACAATGACAATGGTGGTGGTGGTGGTGGTGATGATGGTCGTGATGGTGATGATGACAATGGTGGTGGTGGTGATGGTGACAATGAAAATGGTAGTGGTGGTAGTGATGGTGGAAGAGATGGTGGTGGTAAGCTTACTTCAGGAAAGCTTCAGAACTTTTAAAAAGATAGTGGAAATTTTCTTCTCATGAACTCTTAAGGGGAAACCCAATGCAGAATAGATAAACAAGAATTGCTCAGACTTAAAGGAGTTCCGGGGATATGAGAACTACCAGCTCAGCCCGCCCCTCTCCCTGCTAGCTGCCCACTTTTATGGATCCATCAGCACTCAGCCAAGTATAGTTGGAAAATCTATGACAAGAGATTGGCAAGGAAATGGCAAGATAATCTTTTGCTTACTTTAGGTCAAGTGGAGGTTTAATGTTCCTGGGAGGTAGGCTTGGGGCTGCAGGTTGTGTGGGGTGAGATGCTGGCAACGATGGTTGGCTGGCCGGATGGGATGGTGGAGGTGGTGGCAGGGAAGCTGTTGAGTAAGATGTGTGGCCTTTGCTGGTACCTGAGAAGCAAAGCAAACAATACCATGAATTAAGACAAATCCTCAAAATACAAGAACTGGCTATTCCAAGCATGTAGAAATGAGGACCTTGAATATAAAAATGTAAGTAATGCATCCCAGATTGAGTTAATGCTTTACAGAGTCTAATATTTTAAGTATCATGGGACATGGCATTTTATGTGTTCCATTTCTTGAAATACATAAATTCTTTGAGTTTAATTCCCACTATTAAAAAGAATTACTTTTAGTTTTCTAAGCTTTTGTAAGCCTTAATTTTAGTATTGTGGATTTTGTGAACAAGCCCATATCAACTTTTATACCTATATCAACATAATAATTTTCTAAATGAAGATTACTTTTGACCACACCCATTATTTTTGACCGAAGAGGTTTAGTTTCTGCATCTGTGCTCATAGATAACATATTCTTATTTTTTTTGGATGATATCCTTGAATTTTTAAGTTATGTTTTGTTTGAGGTGTGATTTTAAAATATTGAAACAGATTAAATAATTTCACAAGTAAATCATATATGTTATAGAAAATTATAATATGAAGATGAATAAAACTAAATATCAATCACATATAATTCCATCATCCAGCCATAACTATTGAGTTGCATGTATTTTAGAACATTTTGGTTCAAATACATGCTTTTATGGGAGAGTAGCAAAATGATCCCATTTTGTTATTTTGCTACCGGTTTTTAATTTTTTCTCAACATCTATAAATATCTTTCCAGGTTAATACAATTACATATGATTTTTAGTAACTGCATAATTTTTATTTACATAGCTACCGTGATTTTAAAAAAAACTAGGGCCCTAATATTGTATATTTATTATTTCGTTTCATTTTTGCTGTAATAAAAAAAAGACTTGGATAACCACATGTAGAAGACTGACGCAGGATCCACACCTTTCACCTCTCACAAAAATCAACTCACGCTGGGTAACAGATTTAAACCTAAGGAGTGAAACTATTAGAATTCTA